GGCTGCACCTAATGTCAGCATAGGGGAAATTTGGCTCAGTTCAAGTTAATCAATTAGGAAAACTACATTGCCAAGTTCCAGGTTCTTAGTAAAGCAAACGCCACTCAAGAACAAGCTTATGTGATTGTTTTCACTTCAAATTACTCCCCTTCCCCGCCCCCACCAAGTAAAAACAATAAGTTTTCATAGGATAACATTGCCATAACCCTTGATTACATTTTTCTCTTGTTGACAGGAGGTCCAGAGCACTCTGGACTCTGAAATGTCCAGAGTGCTCCTTGAACAAAAAAAGCAACAGGATTACAGTGTAATGATTCTGCTGACCACTCAGTTAACCCCGTCGGCCTGATCTGTGGCCCTCCATTCAGCGCTGCTCTGTTCAATCCCCGAAGCTCCCTGCAGGGGACAAATGTGCTTTCTGAGCCCCTTTGTAAACATTAACAATATTATTTGATATAAATCCAGTTGATGAAAATTAATTCCTGCCACAGATTTTCAAGAAATACATCTTTTCAGACAGGAATAATAAAAAAAAAAGTTTATATACTTTTCCTTTTGACCAACTGATCAGATGATATGATATGTCTTATGTCAAGAGCTCTGCAGTATTTGGTAATTACACTACTTTTCTCCACATGGCAGGTTAAGCTTCAGTAAGCTTTATGTTTATGAATAAAATTTGAGGGAGCTTCACAAGGAGTGGACTGAGGATGGAGTACATTATGATAATAAATGTAGCACACTATGAAAAAATTAGCCCATCATGTTATGGAAAGACGGTCCACACGATTGATGCAAGAGAAAATTTTGGTTTTTAAGAAAATGGCTGTCACTTAATCATTCGTCAATCAATGAGGACAATTAACTTTAGATCAACTTAATAGATAACTTGCATCCCTGAACCAGTTTTTGGTACCTTTACTGTTCTCGACTGGCCAGCAAATTTCCCTGACCTGATACAACGGACTGAATACTCCAGATGATCCGAAGGCTGATATCAAAACCAAACGGGCCTTCTACTGTCCCCAGCAGAACCACACACTGATCGCCTCCATGACACACCACACCGATGCAGTAATTTGTGCAAAAGGAGCTACCAGTATTGAGTCCATGTAAGTAAACATGCTTTTCAGAAGCATGACAGTTCTTCTGTTTTATATGTACTTTTCTTGCTGGTGTTATATAAAAATCTAATTTTATGAAAGTGAGTCGAGAGCTCCAAGCTGTGTGTGTGTGTAATGACTCATCAACTTTATTAACAAATATGGAACCATTTTGTTTGTTTTTAAGAGGAACTAGTATTTGCTTTACAGCTTAAAGGTGTAACTAAAACAGTATTCCACTTCTCTACAATGACTTATGAAAACAATGTGTGGCCTTGGAAGTTTCATTGTTTAGGAATGAAGCCCAGGACTCAAAATAAACAAAAAATAATTTTCAGTCTGGCAAGAATACTTAACTTTGCTAAAGTTAATGCTGACAAGTTCACACTGCAGCAGAAACAGCAAACACCTTTACCTTTACATCTTTGCTGTTATTGCAGAACATCAGACACGTTAAAATGATTGCGAACATATGTTTGTTGCTGTGTTTATATAAAGCATCTCGGCCTGGTGCAGCATGCCTTTTATATTAACAAGCCCCTGGAGATGATCATCCAGCAAAGTTCAGGTAATCTAAACAAGACTAAGCGAGGTTGTCGTACAACAACCACAGATTGCTTATGCTAAATAAGGAACCTGCAAGTCTTTAAAAATTTATTCAGAAGCTAGTGTATCTTAAAATAGTTACTGATTTATGATTTTAAACACCAAATACATTATATTGTAGCAGAAATCTAGTAGGTTTTGTTTAGGGAGCTGGGACAGAGTGGAGATCTGACTAAATTAAATCTATAATTTAGCAAGCAGCTCTGACTGTGTAATGAACAAGCTGCCAGAGAACCCTCTTCATTTAAATACAGCAAAGGCAGCAGCAGCTTAGCTAAACAAACCAAAATCTTAAAATCCATTTACACTGTATTTAAAAGCCATTAATGCTATGCAAAGTGAATTATGAACAGTGCCAACTCCGCATCTCCGCATTTTGAGTCAAAATGCCTCTCTTTTTCCAGCAAACCACTTTAGACCATGCTAAGTAGAGTGATCCTTGAAACTATGTAACGTATATTTTATTCTATGCTGTGGGCAAACAATCTTCTCGGAGGCTTTGCTATAAACTCTGGTTACATCCTATAATCCACAGCACACTAGCAGGCAGCCCCTGAGATTATACATTTTAGGGTGAAGGCAGCTGACGGAGATGGATGAGGATAGGATGGAGAAACTCCAGGGTGAAATGAGCTGTGAAACCACAGACTTGTAACTACGATCTTAATGATTGGCACGCTATGGGTTAATGAGAATGTACTGAAGCACTTTCTGCTGCGTGCTGGTGTAGGCGCCAGTGTCATTTATCTTAGATGCACATTTTATCATTTGTAAAGGAGTGTGGGTTGGAGACAATGCAGGTGTGTTGTTAGAGGCATTGACTGTCACAAAGTGAAATGTGAAGAAGGCAATGATCTTAAAGATTCGTGCCATGAGTTTTTTTCTTCTCCCCCCCCTCCCAAACTCATGTGCAGTCAGTATTAAATTGTCGAGTGCTTGTGAAGTACTCTTGGGCTGGATTTGGAGCAGATGAAAATTTAGGGGTTTTGTCTCTTTAGCAAATTTTCCAGGCATTTCAGTGCACTCCTCCACTGGAGAAGTAAGGTACCAATCTGTGACAGCCAGTAAGTAATCAGCTTATTCTGCAGTTGAGAGGCATTTTAGCTCATTTAAAGATTGTGCGTGTGAATAAGTAGGTATTATGGGTTTCTGTTTAGTTTCACAGTCTGATTAGGATACTGTGAATCCTTAAGGGTATATATCCAAGGCAGCTTGTAACTTCTTCACTAAACTATATCATAAATTCTGTTTCCTTTTTTTCACTTAATTGTGACAGAATAATACGAGACAGATAATCCTCTGCCTCTTTCCTGTGGTGCTGCCGGGTCCATACACTGCTCAGTCAGAAACAACCAATCAGAACCAGGAGGAGGGTCTTAGCGCCATCAGTACACGATGCACCTGTGTCAACAGCAGAAAAACAACTTACCATTACAGAACAATTAGTTTATCATCTGTCATCAGTGGCTATGGTAACTAGCAACCACAGTAGGCTGCTATGATGCTTGAAGGAGATGTAGCATAGCAGAGAGCTAGGGGAAGCGTGTGAGCAGCGCACACATCAGGATGATTGACAGCGCCAAGACCTTCCTCTTATCTCTGATTGGTTACTTCTGATTGAGCTGTGTATTTTGCAGATGGGACCACAAAGGCAGAGCAGCTTGATTTTGTTTTAAATGATCAGTCTCAGACTGTCACAAAATAGTGACCATGTTAAATACATAAGAAAACATTTTTTATAAAAGTTGCCTACTGCTGCTTTAAGAATAATTTTCGATTTATTCTTTACTGCCTGGTTTATCCAGTTTCTGTCCTTTAAGACGGGCATTTCTAATTATCACTGGGTCTGTGTTTCAATTTGGCTCTGTTCTGGAATTCCCCTACCGAGAGACAATCTTTCTATTCTGCTCTGGAAAGAGGAAATTAAGTATTCAATTCGACCAGTGATGAGCTGAAGTTATTTTCTTTTACACATATTCTACTAGTTAATCTATCGCAAACTTAATACCTAGCTATCTGTCGTTTTTTTCTGCGAGATACGTATGGCTCTTGTTCGGAGAAGATAACATGTTAGCTGCTATTCTATCAAAAAAGGTGCAGTTATGGCAACACAAGATTTCATGGGCATTGCTTTCCATACGTCACATGTCAAAGCTATTTTATCTGCTTGTGATTCTGTTGCTCTGCAATTTGATAAAAAATAAAATTAAAAAGCAACTCAAAAGGACTGCTCCATTTTTTTTTTCCAAAAGAGCTGCAGACTTGGTTTTGACTTAGTGAGAGTGACAAGCAAGCATATTAAATGATTGATTATAAAAACAACAATAGTACCTCTATTGTTTGCCAAGACTCAGAAGACAAGTATAAAACTGGAGGCAGAAGAAACAATTGAGACTTGTCAGTCACAACAGAATTTATAATGAGCTTACATCTTCAGTATGTTTTGCTAAAAGACAGAAAAAATACAAGTTGGAATCATAATAAGTTGGAATATTCAGGGTTTAATATTTACATAGTAAGTAGAACATTTGGTTACCTTAAAAGATTCCCGTCTCTGACAGACTCAAAGCTAGTTAATAACTACATTAGTGGCTGTCCAGAGGTGGTCAGAGTATTCAAAACTTTTACTCTAGTTTAGCAGCAGGTAAACTTACTCAAGTAAAAAAAATGTACAGAACAGTAAATAAATGTAACTAGTTACTAACCACCCCTGCCATTAGCAATCACCACAGGTGAATAAAAAGAAATGAACAAAAAAAAAAAAATGAACAAAAAAAAAAAACAAAAAAAAATTGTTCAGTGTTTTAGAAGGTGTCACATACAATCATAGCAAAAGTTAAACAAGAAAGAAAAAAAAAGCACACACACACATCTTGTTTGAACCTGTAAATTGTGTGCACTTATCTTTATTACTGGAAGGACAGGAAGATGCAAAATTAAAAGGACCTTTAACAAGCAGTCACACAGACACAAATCTGTACCGCAAACAACAATCATGCTTTGTTCAGAAGCAGCCAGTAAGTGAGTAAACTGCTTTGAGCTTAATGCGTGAGTGTGTTTTACTGAAGAGGATTAGGCCAGGCATTACCACAAAGCTTATAGCTGAAGTCTGCAGGGGGATTAAGACAGCCATGACTCAAACGAAGGGGTTATAAAAGAAAAATCACAGGACTGTTTGAGAGGGAGGTCAAGCAAAGTGCTTGTCCTGCCAGCACAAAGCGAGCCTGGAAAAATGTTGAGAAAGCAGGGATGTAAATGCTCTCTAACGTAGAGGTAGGATTTAGTACTCACAGATACATTTACTGTAAATATGAGCCTCGGCTTGAACTGTCGAAACAAACAAGACCAAATCACACAGATTTTGAGAGCGACTGTTTTCATGGGTCCATTTATGAGATCAAAAAAACTTTTGTGTTATCAGAAATATCATAACTTAATGTTCACATAGACCATAAGTCTGCATTTCTACAAGCTCACATAATGTGAAAAATGGCTAAAATGGGTGGCCATTTGGAGAAATCAGGTTTCAAGTCATATCTACTTGAAATAGTCCATTTTGAGTGTGTTTTGATGTTTTAGGTGAATTTTTCTTTATACTAAACAACATTGCTTCTTTTTACTGTGTCTGTGTCCTCTCTGCGTATATCCACCCATACAGGATATAAACAAGTCAAACTGTATAGAAAGTCAAAAATCAGAAGTAGCAGAGGGAACATTTGGGAGTTTAAGTTCAGCTGCAAACAACAACCATTTTATTGTTCACATTATCAAATAGAAACATCTCATTCTGTAAAATTAGATGTTTTATCATGTCACATGTCACACTGGTCTCCTCAGAGCTAAAATAAAGGGATAAAACAAAACATTATTGAAAACTAAACAGCTATATTGAAGATATGTGAAACAGACCAACCATAAACAGTCCTTCAGAAATCATCACTGGTGTGAAATTATGTTTGACTGCATAAAAAGGTAGGAAGTGTTTCAGGCTTCTCCAGTGAGACAATTATCTGTGTTATACAAGGTAATGAACCCATGTAAAAGACTAGGTCATTTTCATAGATCAAATGCTGTTAGAAGATGTTAGAGATAATTTGGATAGTGAAGTCAAGATGATATTTGCATGCCGAGGAGTAGATAAGGGGTGTTACAAAAACAGTCAATGTCAGAACAAGGTCATAGTCGAGAGGCATGCTTCAAAGACGTCTGACAAATAAGATTATCTCTCTGTACTTTTTTGAGCTTGAAGGCACCAGAGACCCTGATTTCTGACAAAGACAACTGAATGGCGACTGACCTCCTCAGATCTTTCACAAAGAAACAAACAGCTGGGTCGACATCCCGTCCACCTTCACCATAGTCTGCGCTCCGCTGGATCTTCTGCTTTTCACCGCCTGCAGCTGCTTCAGCACCTACACGTGACGGGAGGAAATGTGAACTCCATTATTATGATGACTGAAAATGGACAGCGTTCAAATTTGAATCATACATGAGAAGCAAGGGTGTCAAAAAAAAAAAAAAATCCTATATCAGCTATAATATATCACATTTCCCACCAGCAGGACAGGACAGCTAAAGATTTAAGGAATTCTTCCAAAACTATTGGAACCATGTTTTCTTGGCCACAGAAATGACAAAAATGTGTCAGCTGTTGTTGAGTTTGCAAACAATTTTATTTATTTTTTTCCATGTTTAATACAACGGAAAATGTTTTATGAAACAAAAGGTTTCTGTCTAAAAAATATGTATAAGATACACGACCAATTACGATGTAACAATATTTTTACTGTATTAATTAGGTTTAAGCCGTTATGTAATATTGTGTTGCTTTCCTCCATATCAAAACAGTAGACAAGGTAAAAGTTGAAGGTGTTTATATCTTTTATAAAAGTATGTACCTTGGATTCAGTGACGAGATTAATTGGAAAACAAACATTTCTAAAGTGATAAAAAGATCTGAATCATACAAAAGTTAAAGTGGCACACTCAGCTTGAGAAGAAATGGATCTAGAAATGTTTGCAGAAATTACACCTCAGATTTAAATCATTTGACTAAGCTGCGAAAAATATGACCTTGATCGTTTGTGACAATTTTATTTTCCAAGTATTATCCATGAAAAGTAAACAAGAAGCCTTAGCTATTAGCATAGGGTCACATTTTATTGTTCAACTGCAAGGTCTACCGTCATCAGACGATAAAAGATGTTATTAACAAGTTACTATCACACATGTAGTCAAACAAAAATGGTGTTTAGTCAATGGTTTGGCCCTGGATCACAGTTATAATTGCTTTGTGTGGCCATTTGTGAAAATTAATTGCCCAACCCTGTCAGAGAGCGTCATGATTTAGGCTGGCTGTGTGTACTTAAAAGAATTCAATAGAAATAATTTTGGATCATTGATCAAAGCAGCTTTTCAATTCAGTTAACAAATGTAATTATCAGCTGTAATACTGGACTTTTGGATTTGGACACCGATGCACTATAAATTAATACCCGAACACAAATGTAAATTTTTAATTGCTGCCATGATTAATTTATAGGCTTTTCAATAGCAGAGTCATTAATGTACAGCCAATCCATCAGTGTTTATGTGCAGAGTGACATGGATGGTTTCCTCTGCAATTTATGTAACAGAGTCATTTCCAACCCCAGTGGAAACATGTTATTAAATTAAAGACGGTGCTAAATTGCTAGATCAAATAAAGTATATTGATCATTTCATAAAATGTGGTCATTTACAAAGCACTTTAATTAGATGCTGGAGCAAAGAAACCAGCAGGACACCCTTCTGTCACTGCATGGTCCATTGCGACTTTTGACAATGTTTGAAGAGAAAAACAGATCTGAAGCCTTTTTAAATCTAGAATCTTGTGTATTTTTTCCCTGCATTTTTCTCCCATGTAGTTTTTGTGCCAAGATGAGACAACGCACTCCACAGTTGTATTAATTGTACAAGGAGGTAAAACACAAAGAAAACAGTCTTTCCTGTGGAAAAAGACTTTTTAAAATATTTAGGAATGATAAAAGCGCATGTTGGATATTGGGTGGAAACCTGTACATACTACTATGCAGTACAGAGGATAACCTAAAATTAAAAACAGTTTCAACAAAACTTTAGTCTGAAGAGACATAAAAACAATGCTAGTCAGTGTGTGAAGGCTGAAAAGAGAGCATCACCATCCAGCCGGAGTATAAAGGAACTAGAAATGTCAGCAGCAATGTTAATCAATAATCCCTGGCTATCGTGCAACAGCGCTAATGCTCTCTGAGGCAGGTAAGCTGCAGGAAGAAGGTAAATTTTAAAAAAAAAAAAAAAAAAAAAAAGTAAATGTCTGCCAAGTGCGGTTCTCTTTTCCGGAGGCTTATCCTGCAGCTCTTCTGGTGACATTTCAAGGCATAAGCATGTGTCGTTTGAACGCGGAGGGAGACGCAGGGCCTCCTGCTGAGATTTTTAAGCATCAAACTTTCTTTTGCGTTCTTGAGGGATTTTTTGTGCACTAATTTGCTTCTTCCCTACATCACTTTTGGGAGAAGTCATGTTCAGTCACGTCAAAACTGAGCCAGGCATAATGCAATGAAAAGAACACATTAAATGCTACAAAACATTCTGCAATGTTTTAAAATAAAAATAGTTTTTACCGTTCTTTTCTCATTAAATCATCCCTGCTTGCAGACTTAACAGATTTAAAATTTCATTTGTCCCTACATCAATCAGACTGTAAAATAAAGTAGGCATATAATGTTTTGTCACGCTTCTGATGATGTGGTTTAATCTGTGGCTTTGTTTACTTGCTGTAATGTACGCGGAAATGTGCTTTTATTGAGCAACATGCATCTTTTTAATGTAGTGTTCATGTGACTTTTATTGTTTGTAGTATATTTAATTGTGGAAGCAGCTTTGCTTGGCGTATGATGACCCTAAAAAAAGTGACCATCAAAACGTCGCTTATTATAGTGATGACAGTAAAGCCAGGGTTTAAACAGGACCGTAGAACTGATTCTCTCAACTCAAGTCCACTCTTTGCTCCCTTTAAAGAAGCCAAAGAGAGAGATAACTAGCAGATGGCACCAGTGCCAGAAAACTAAAGACAGCAGACGAAACCCACAACCTTCCTAAACTCATCAAGATTCAAGGACGAGAGTCGCCGTCACACAGTGAAGGTCACTTGTGTAATAACTGAGTGAAATGATTAATACACTAGAAATGACATGATGTGCACGGTGATCAAGAGCTCCAGTGATGGATTACAAACTGTGGCAACCAATTTCCTGTAAATAATACCGAATTAGGAAAGACCTTTTAAAACTACTTGATGAATGAAGTTAACATATTAATACCCTTTCTCCCCTTCTATGTATTTTATCTTTCAGACAATGCTGTAAACATAGAAAGTGAAGTCCAATGGAAAGAAAGATACACATTGTAGGACTAGCACAGCACAGAAGATACATCCCACACTATGCTGAGACGGTGTAAGAATCATTTTAAACTCGATGGTAGAGGTGATTTCCATGGCTTTTTTCAAGGAATAAGTTTTTAAAATCATCTTTCAATGTGTCATCAAAGGAAGTGAAGGTCAAACAGCTTAGCCTCTCTTCAAGGTTGCCTTAGTGGGCTGATGCACATTATCGCCTTTACATACTGTCCAATTCTACCGACCTGTCTGAAGGAAGAGGTTGACACCTCGCATATGAATCATCAAGACCAACTTTATGGCCCTCTCCAGTGAAAACGTTTTAAACATTAGCCTCAGGATGCGTCTTTCCAGCAGTTTGACTGGGACGGATATTCTCTCATTAATTATTATAGTTGCTCCACATCTGCTGCCCCCAGACACAAGCAGCCATCTATCACAACTAGTAGTCCGGGTAAGAAAACGAGGGCCGAAGACCCATCTGTTGGCCATTCATAATGCATTCACTTTCTCTGAGGAGTGAGTGGCTGGCAAAACATTTAATGATCGCACCACTGATACCACGATGGAGCCAGCCATCAGCAGCCATCTGATGCCCGGAGAATTATCAGAGAACTCGGAGCGTGCCAAGCATAGAGCGAAATTAGCAGAGATCCGAGATGTGGAGCCGGAGCGACCTGATTAAATGGAAATCACTTCTACAAACCAAAGTTAAACTAACTAAACTGGTAAAGACACATTTTTTATGTCTCTAAAGTTAATGACAAATATTGAAAACATATTTCAATATTTTATGGTTACATAAAAGTTTTATGTAATTTACCCACAAGAATAAACGTATTCAAAATTTTAAACTGGGAGATGTCTCTCTTTCTCAAGTTTCTTGAGATTCAGGGTGTTTTCTCACCTGGTAGTCTGGTAAACTGTTTGATTGGGGAACAAAACTGCAACATTTGTTACATTTTTTTAAATGGTGTGGCTCGCTTTCCCAGAGCACTGTGTCAAACAATCCAAACTAATTGAAAACCAAGAACTACTGATGAAAACAACACAAAAATAACGACACAAAAAAACCCGAAGACGACATGAGCGCAACTTCCTTCTTCACAAAATGTACACAAAAAAAGTGCAGTGGCATCAGACTGTAGTGGTTGAAGGATTTCTCTTTTTGTATTTGTTGAAAAACCATGAGCCACTTCTTCCCCTCTAGTGTTAGACTCCTGTGTTTGTTTTGGTTCTATTGACACAGAATGCCCTGCGCTACACTCCACTTCCTGGTTTTGAGTGGTCTCCGGTTCACTTGCATGCACATAGGAATTCAAACCTTGCCAGAGTTCACTTCAACCAACCGAGACTTAGGCTTTAGTTTGCTTTTTTGGTTCGCATCAGAGTTCGATTGCACATTCACACCTCCCCAAACGAACCAGACTTTATACGCAAAGTAAAATAGAGCCTAACAGAGTTACAAAATAGAGTTCTAATCAAACTATTTAATAAAACTAGAATTTTATTAAAGCGGACTAAACAGGCTGGTGTGAAAGAACAGTGAGTGCGAAGTTTGTCTGAGTTGCTTTGAGGAGTCAATTCATCTTCTGCTGTCGGTCCATTGTGTTTCATCAAGTCCAAATCTACTGAAGCCGTCCATGAGTAAACTTTAGAGAACTTCATGCTGCCTCATCAGACAAGCATAAATGGATGCTGCTTTTATTTCCCAGAACTTGGCAGTGGTCCATACAGCCTAAAGGAACCTATACCCGCTTAAAAGAACTTGATAGTCCAACAAATTTCCATGACCCCCATAAAGAGTCAATGGACTATTGTCAAGAGGAATATGAAAGACACTGGAGTCAGCAATGCAGATGAGCTAGGGGTCACTATTTGAGTAACCCTGGCTTCCCAAACACCCCAACAGAACAGGCAGATCGCCTCCATCCCATGCCATAGTAATGAGGTATTTCATGCAAAAGGACCCATGAACAGGTATGGAGTGTATATATTGTACACAGCAATATGCTAATTAATACTTAACTTTAGAAG